GAGCCCAGCAGATCGAGGCTGCAGTGGCCGGGAGTGGCCACTGCACTCCAGTCTGGGCAACAGAGTGAGACTCCAACTCAAAAAAATAAAATAAAAATAAATAAAAGATACATTATATTATTATTAATATTTTACATATTTATGGGTTGCGTGTGATATTTTGTTTCACATACAGAATGTATCATGACTAAGTCAGGGCATTTTGGGCATTTCCACCACCTTGAGCATATGAGGGTACCCCCAAAAACCTAGAATTTACTTATTAAAAATTGTGTGCTTATTCTTTCAGTTTGAACTTCAGTCCCCTTCAAAGTACTCTCCGTTTGATGCAACACACCTACCAAGATGCTTTTTCCACTGCTCAAAACAGTTTTTGAACTCATCCATTTTGGTGCCTTTTGATGCTTCTGCTGGTTTTTGCTTCACCTCTTCCACATCTGTAGAATGTTTCCCATTGACGACTGTTTTCATCGGGAAGCAAAAAGCAGATTGGGTGAATAGGAAGGGCAGGTATCAGGAGGTCCTGCCATTTTTGGTCAAAAACTGCTGTTCACTCAGCTTGGTGTAGGCAGGTGCATTGTTATGGCAGAAGAACCAGTTACCTGTTTGCCACAACTTGGGACATTTCTTCTGCCTCTCCTGACGATGCTGGCTGGTATACTGATACCGTTGGGTTCCTAGGACACTGACCTAGCAGGGGACGTCTGTGTACTACAAAGGGCCCACCCTCTAAAAGATTATTTCATTGTTTTTCGGGTTCCTCTTGTAGGCTGTCCCCAGCACATACAGAGGACTTGTGGGTCTTGAAGATGCCTACTTGAGTCCTGAGGCACCAGATGGAATCTGCTCACTCCAAGGTTACCACCATTTGGGGTTCGAGACCAGCCTGGGCAACTTGGCAAGACCTCATCTGTATAATAAATCAAAAAATTAGCTGGACATGGTGGTGTGTGCCTATAGTTCCAGCTACTTGAAAGGCTGAAGCAGAAGGATCTCCTGAACCCAGCAGGTCGAGGCTGTGGTGGCTGTGAGCATGCCACTGCACTCTAGCCTGGGTGACAGAGTGAGACTGACTCAAAGAAAAAGCGGGGGGGGGGGGGGACCAGGAGTCAGATGGGTCCATTGAAGACCATCAATTCCCCTTCATCTATCTTCCTTTCCAGAGCTCAACTCACTGCTCTTGTATCCCCACTCAGAAACCAGTGACTACAGAATCAATGAATAAAGCTAGGGGCATAACGGAAAAAGAGAAAATACTCCTTTGGTTGTTTAAAATATTTCAGCTATAGGACACTAGAACACACGTCAAGTCCTTTAAAACTCACCAACTTAAAACATGTGCTTCATTCTTTAGCAAATGATGAAATGCCTTGGAAAGACAATGGCTGGAGAATGAGATAACTGTCCGACAATAAGATGTAGTTATCTCCTATTTAGTTAACTGGTGTTCCTGACTCAGCAGTAGCCAACGCCAGAAGAGAGGCAATGGCGGACCATATGTGTACGTGCCAGTGAGACCCAGAGTATATTTAGTCGCTCAATCGGCTGTTTGGAGGACACCACTTCCAAAGCAATTGATTTGACTGAATTAACCAGTGGAACTTGAATCTATGATTAAATTAGGAAGTTGGAAAGCATTATTATTAGTAGTAGTAGTAGTATTTTGGAGACAGAGTCTTACTCTGTTCCCAGACTGGGTGCAGAGGCAATTTCCTGGCCTACCACAGTCTCAGCCTCCTGGGCCCAGGTGATCTTCCCACCTCAGCCTCCTGAGTAGCTGGGACTACAGGTGTGTGCCGCAATGCCCAGCTAATGTTTGCTTTTTTTTTTTTTTGGTAGAGAAAAGGTCTTGCTATGTTGCCCAGGCAGAGTGAGACTCCAACTGAAAAAAAAAAAAAAAGTGTTGGTGTTACGTTGGATGATGTGTACTTGGGTGTTCATCATTATTCTTTTTTTCTTTTTTTTTTTTGAGTCGAAGTTTCACTCTGTTACCCAGACTAGAGTGCAGTGGCATGATCCAGCTCATTGCAACCTTGACCTCCCAGGTTCAGATGATTCTTCCCTGTCACCTTCCTGAGTAGCTGGGACTACAGGCGGATGCCTCCACACCCAGCTAAGTTTTTGATTTTTTTGTAGAGATGAGATCTTGCTATGCTGCCCAGACTGGTTTTGAACTCCTGGCCTCAAGCAACCCTTCCATCTCGGCCTCCCAGAGTGCTGGGATTACAGGTGTGAGCCACTGTGCCCAGACTCTTTGTACTCTATATACGTGTTCTGCATATATGAAACCTTTCATACTTTTTTTTCCTTCAGAAAAGAAAGAAGGACTGAGTCCTCTGTGCATGTTCTTCAACTTGGAAATGAAGGGCAGTGTGGTTGGACAGTGGCCGGCAGAGTCAGAGCGCCTTCAGGACATGGCGTGTGTTTGTTCATCTTTTATCCCCCTCAACGAGTTACATGGTGCATGGAAGTGCATGGAAGGTTTTATTTTATTTTATTCTATTCACTTATTAAAATTTTTTTTCTTGTACAGAGATGGGGATCTTACTATGTTGCTCAGGCTGACTTCAAACTTCTGGGTTCAAGCGATCCTCCAGCCTTAGTCTCCCAAAGTGCTGGGATACGGCGTGAGCCACCATGCCCAGCTGTGTACAGTTTTTAAAATTAATCCCATATAAGCTTAGTTAAGAGCATCTTGGACATGTGGCTTA